TTTTTGATAACAAATTTCCACACAGAGCAAATGCTAAAGAATAAATTGGTGGACTTCATAATAACCTTTATGGAAGAGATCGATAAGGAGATATCTGAAATGAGATTAGCAGTAAATTCGCGTGCCCGGCAATGTGCAGAAGAATTCTTGAAATCTTTTGATTAACTTTTACGAACATTATATTTAATTCACCTAATAAAATGCTTATTTTACTTTTGTTTAAACGACTCATTTCTAAAATTTGCAAAAGTGCGCGCGCACATTAAGTCTCATTCATCAGCGGAGAGTCCAGCTACTATTATAGCCTTGTTATTTCCCTGTTGTCATTACCTTAAAACCAAATATACAGCTCAATATTATTCTTAAAAATATTATGTGGCTGATTTCGGCACTTGTACATCGTAATTTCATAAAATTATTACATTACAATATTCGTATATTTATAATGTGACGCTCGTCTTCCTTGTATTCTGGACTTGCTTCTCGCCATGTCGCGTTCACATGATGTTGTGCAAATAACCTCGTGGCTGCCTTTGGCCAGAGCTGCTGCAATTGGATGGGTCCCTTTAGCACGCCAACGCCTTCCAAAGCCGGTTATATCTAAGAATTTTACCTCAGAACTGAGCCACCATTCTGCCTTTGATGGCAAAGCCATTATAAATGTCAGTGGTAGACGATTCGAGATCCTTAAGAGCAACCTTGATAGATATCCTCATACCCTGCTTGGATCTGATGAAAGAGATTATTTTTATGATGATTCAAGAGGCGAATATTATTTTGATAGAGACCCAGAAATATTTCGTCACATTTTATCTTATTATCGATGTGGCCACTTACATTATCCAAAGCAAGAGTGCGTTCTTGCATATGACGATGAATTAACTTACTTTCGAATCGCCCCTGATGTAATGGGAGATTGCTGCTATGAGGATTACCAAGATGGAAAACGTGAAAACACAGAAAGGATTTTGGATGAAAAAGCTTCTGTAGAAAAGGCAGCTGAGCTTCCCAAAACTTTTAGGGCAAGACTATGGTTCGAGTTTGAGAATCCAGAGGTTTCAACATCTGCTATTGTAATATACTACGTAACTGGATTTTTCATCGCTATTTCGGTCATGGCCAATGTGTTTGAAACTGTTCCATGCGGAAGAAAACCAGGAACAAATGAATCTCCTCCTTGTGGTGACCAATATAGTGGTGCTTTTTTTTGTATGGATACTGCTTGTGTAATCATTTTCACTCTGGAATATTGTGCTAGATTATATGCTGCGCCAAATAGATGGAAGTTCTTTCATTCCGTCATGAGTTTGATCGACGTTGTCGCCATTCTTCCATTTTATATAGGTCTTGTGATGCCGAATAACAAGGTAATATGCAAATTTTAACATTTTCCTTAAAATGTTTGCTTTATTTAGATTTTAGTATTTTTACTTTTCGAATCTCATTATTTTATAAATCTATCTATAAAATAATATAATATTTCAATTTGTTGGAAATTTGTTTTGTTAATTGTTAGTCATAAGGCATTAATAGTTTGATATATTATAATTGTTATATTATGGTCTTTTGCCGACATTATTCTAGAAAATATTTGTTTTTATCTCATTCTTATACCTAGAATAGCAAGGTTTTTCAGTCGTTTCTCTTAAAAAATTAAATCCCGGCCTTAAATAATTTGTTTTATAAATTTCACTGACCTTATTTCTGGGGTTAAAGATTACTCGTCCTAATTTTTGTTCATTAGGGTCTTTTACCTCTATTTTCCACAGTTATAGCTTTAACCAATATTGGCGATATATAGCTATTAAGGTTTATAATTAAATTGGTCTAAACTTTTCCATCTCATCTACTTCGCATTCTATAGTATAAAGCTTAATTTTCTAGATTCTCTTTTGCTATTTGCTTCATTATTATACCCCCAGTAGTTAAATTTATTTTCATTTTCATCCTTTATTCTATTTTTACTTCTACATATCCGTTTTTATTAGTTGCACCTGCTTGTATCTTTAGGGTAATGATCTAGCCGTTCCTGAGTTACTTAATTATTCAAGTCTATGGGGGTTTCTTATATCTGTTCTATTCATGAATGAATAACAAAATAACCATACTTGTGTTATTGTTAAACGGAAGTTATCCTTGGATTTTCTTGAATATATTCAGAGATTACTTCGCCAAACTTATTTTATTTTGAATGAATGGGTATTTGGATTATTTGAATTATGCCTTTTACCTCACGGTTATGGCTTTTAATTTAGTGAAGGTGGATTTATAAAAAATCTGTAGATTACAATTCTTTATAGAAAAGATTAATCAGCAAGTATTATGCACAGTGTATGAGAATTATTATACCCCTGAAAACGATTTCGAATCTTGGTAAACCTACTGAGAATAGATCTATGCATTTTCGTATATCTCTGCTTACTTGATACTAA